GGGTCATCAGGCTGTCTTAGAAGTTGCCTCTCAAGGACAGGATAACTTTTTTTAAAAACTCTATTTCATTTTATTTTTGGGGTTTTTAATCCATATTCTTTTTCATGACAAGCCACCTTCTGTTGGCCTCATTAATTACCTCAAGCATGCTGAAATGCTGGGTTTTTAGGAAACAGTGGTGATATTTAGGTTTCTGTACAGTCCGGAACCTATCAATCAGAAAGTCTTGAATTTGAATTTTTAAAATCTAAGTGTAGTACACGTGTGCCATGCCTCTATAACTGCTAATAAGGTGGCAGAATACTTATAAATTTTCTTAACAGTTTGACATTAAAGAAAATTTCATTGTCAAATGAAAACTTGAACTTTTTTTTGTCATCTTTCAGATTTTGTATAATAGTGCCAAACGTCAGTTTTCGGGTACCCCATTATAAGTACTTGTTGATTCTGAGAAATGTTAACATTCTCCATACAGTTTTTTATGTGCTACTATACAGTTTTTAAAATACTCTTGAAGATTGATTTTTTTTTTTTTAGAGAAATTAAAATAGATCATGTATACTGTTTTGCCCTTAGGAAATTCTTAATTGATTAGAACTATACTTGGGGAGTGCTTGAAGTCCCTCTCTCTACTTGTGTAGCTGAGGAAATGGAGACTCAAAGAAAGAGGATATTAAATGATCTGCTTAAAAATCCCGTAACAAGTTATTCTTGTGGCAGAGGTCAGTATTCAGGTCTGTTAGCATCTGGTCCAGTCTGATTCTCTTAAAGTACATCTCAGTGATACTCTTTGTATGAAGGCTTTAAAAAAAACAACAAAAACCAAAACTAATTCAGTTTCTCATTATAGGTTTATTCTGATTTTATATTTCTTATTGAGTTGGTTTTGGTAATTTCTGTTTTTTTTTCAGGAATTTGAACAATTTGTTTAAATTGTTTAACTTATTGGCATAAAATTGTTTCTAGCATTCCCTTCTAATCCTTTAATTTCTGAACTGTTGATAATGTCCCTGTTTTTATTTTTTATTTTGGTAATTTGTGTATCTCTCTACTCTCTATGCCTTTCTCCCTTCCCTCTACCTTCATCTTTTTAAAGAAACAATATTTGGTTTCATTTTTTCCCCTGTATTTTTCTGTGCTGCTTTCATTGTTTTCCATGATGATTTTATTATTTCTTTCCCTTTGATTGCTTTGGGCTTAGTCTATTCATTTTCTAGTTTATTAAGGTGGAAGATTGGGTTGTTGATTTGAGATCATCTTTTGTAACATAGGTACTTAATAAAGCTACACATTTCTTTCTAAACACTCTTTAACTGCATCCCACAGGTTTTGGTATTTTGTGTTTTTATTTTTATTCAGTTAAAAATATTTCCCCTTGGCCTGGTAGCTCAGTTGGTAAGAGTGTCGTCCCTTATATGCCAAGGTTGCGGGTTTGATTCCCAGTCAGGGCACACACAGGAATCAACCAGTGAATGCATAAATAAGTGGAACAACAAATTGATGTTTCCCTTTCTCTAAAATCAATTGAGAAAAGTCCTTCCTAACTTTCCTTGTGATTTCTTTGACCCGTGGATTATTTAGAAGTGGTAGACTAATTCCCAAAGGAGATTTCCCGGATTTCATTCTGTTGACTTTTAATGTAATTTTCTTGGAGTAAAATATACTTTATATGATTTCATTCCCTTTAAATTCATTGTCTTATGGATTAGAAATGGTCTATCTTGGAAAATATTCCAAGTGTGCTTGAAAAGAACGTGAATTTTGCTGCTTTTGTTTGGAGAGTTTGTAAATGTCATGTAGGTCCACTTGGTTGATAGTGTTCAGTTTTGCATCTTTGTTTTCTGTCTTGTTCTTTCAGTTACTGTCAGTGTAACCTTCAACTACTATTATAGTGTTGTTTCTCCTTTCTGTTGTCAGTTTTTGCTTTATGTATTTTGGGATTCTGTTGTTAGGTATGTATATATTTATTTATAATTGTTATATCTTCCTAAGAGTTAACTACTTTATTATTATGAAATATCCCTTTTGTTCCCCTTAGTTTTCTTTACTCTGAAGTTTATTTTATCTTAATTCTATCTAGTCCAGCATTCTTTTGATTATTGTCTGCAGGTATACAGGCATACCTCACTTTGTTGCCCTTTGCCTTGTTGGCCTTCACAGATGTGCTTTTTGCAAATTGAAGGCAAGACCTCTCACCAGCAAAAGGATTACAACTAGCTTTATTGCGATACTTGCTTTGTTGCAGTGGCCTGGAACTGATGTGCAAACTCTGACGTTTCCCTCTGTATTTTTTCCCCACTCTTTTAAACCTACTTATGCCTTTGAATCTAAACTAGCTCTTGTAGACAGCATTGGATTAGATGTTTTATTCAATCTTGTAATCTTTAGTTTTGAGTGGAATATTTAATCTATTTACATTTAATGTAATTATTACTAGAGTTGGCTTTACACCCGCCACTGCGCTCTTTGATTTCTGTGTCAATTGCCCTTTTTGTTCCTGTGTTCCTCCTCTACTGCCTTCTTTGTGTTAAATAGAAAAATGTAGTTATATCATGTAAATTCTCTCCCTCCATTTGAGGTTTTTTTTTTCAATAGTTTCTCTAGGGAATACAATATGCATCTTTTTCATGCTCTTCTTCAAATGAATACTAATTTAATACCAGCAAAATATAGGAACTTTGCTCCAGTGTAGTTTCATTTACTCTCCCTTCCTTTGTGCCATTCTTGTCAGAAATATTACAACTTTATATGTTATAATCCCAACAATGTGTTTTATGCAATCTTTTGCTTTTAAGTCATTTTTTAAAGCAAGAAAAAGAGGATGTATAGTCTTTTTCATTTATTTACTGCTGTATCTTTTCTTCATATGAGTTTAAAATATCTTCTGGTGTTACTTACTTTCATCCAGCAGGGCTTTCCTTATTACTTCTTTTAAGAATGACCTGCCAACAGCAAATTCAGCCTTTGTTTATCTGGGAATGTCTTGTTTCACTATCATTTTTGAAGGATAATTTTGCTGGGTATATATTCTTGGTTGATAGTTTATTTTCTTTCAGCACTTTGTGTTACCATAATGCTTTCTGGTCTCCAGTGTTACCAGTGAGAAATTATCTGTTAATAGTATTAATTCCCTTATGTTTGATAAGTTTTCTCTTGCTGCTTTCAAGATATTCTTTTTGTTTGTTGTTAATAGTTTGACTGTGATGTGTTGGGGTCTCTTTGTGTTTGTCCAGCTTGGAGTTTGTTGAGTATCTGGATTTTAGATGAATGTTTTTCGCCAAAACTGGGAAACTTTCAGTGTTATTTTTTTTCTGCTTTCTCTTCTTTTTTGAAACATCTGAAATTCCTATTCTGGGAGGCAAATGTAAGCTTCTAAGAACTGTTCACCTGGAATTTCCAGGATGCATGCATCTGTTACTGCTTCATGAGGTGTACTTTTTTAAGAGGGAGAGAGAAAACCATCAATTTGTTGTTCAACTTATTTCTGTATTTATTGGTTGATTCTTGTATGTGCCCTGACTGAGGATCAAACCCACAACCTTGGCATATTGGGACTGTGCTCTAACCAACTGAGCTATCCGGCCAGGGCCTGAGGTGTTCTTTAATTCTTTACAGTTTGTAGAGGCTCACCCAGGAACTCCGTCCGTATGTCCAGGCCCATTGGCGCCTGGTATCTGTAACCGATTTCATGTGGAATCCAATTATAGGTTTTTTAGGGGTTTAACTGCCATGGATATATAGGCCATGGATTTTACCTAACCTCTGTAAGTTATTTGGCTTATTGGCCACTAAATCTCTGGTAATTTTAATTTAATCAGACCCCTAATACTTAAGTTGAAAAGGATACCCTCAAATCCAGTCTGTTTGCTTCCCCTGCCTCACATTTAAATTGCCCTCTTCATACATATTTTTGTTTCCAGCACAAAACTCTTGGGAGTGATAGCTTCATTAGGCTGAGTCCTTGTGTCAATAGTGAAGTCCCAAGGACCCTGATCGTCAGCCATCTTTTGAAATACAGGTTGACTGACCACTGTGACCTATGATCTGACTGACCACTGTGACTGACCTTGAGAATCAAGTGCTAGAACCAAGGGTCTAGGCCTCCCAAACCCTAGGCCCTCCATTCTTCAGAGAATCGTTTGGCCTGCTCTTCTTGCTACCAGCATTGCATGTTACCCTGTTCTAACTCTTGACTAGGACACAGTTGTAGCTCCTGCTTTCCCCTCAGAGTTGGGCACTTGAAGTTGGTAGCTGGCAGCCCTGCTGGTAAAGTTCATGGCATCTTAGTTTGGACAACTGTAGTTAGTCACTCTCAGAGTGTGCCCTGGCTTTATCTGTGATGCCTGGTTTCCTAGACTATCCCCAGGTTCCTAGATGTCTGTTACTCTCACTGCCTGGCTGTTCTTTCACCTTGGATGTGCCCTTAAATTTCTCTTTGGGGGCCCATCCGATTGCTTTATTGTTTCTCATTCAGAATTTAAGGCATGAGCCCATATGTAAATTTTCTGGTACAGCCTTCTAAACGTACCCTTGTATTTTTATCCTAAACTGCACTGAATGAATGATAGTTCTAATTCTTCATGAGGCTACATTTGGGCTAGCTTGTTTTTCCTGAGCTACCTAACCTGTCCATGTCTCCTAATAATAAGCCGCTGTAACCTGAGGTTACTGTGTGCATGAGCCCTGGTCCTTGCAGTCGGAAAGAGCTTAATGAACACATAACGTAATGGAGAATGAAAGATACACTTTTAAGCCTGATTTCCAAAGTTACTTGTTGTTTATCTGCATGTAAGGATAAGTGGTAAAAAGACGGTAAGCCCTGAAAATCCTGAAAATTCTATATTAGTAATGTATAGTAATTGTATTTTTTCAATGTTGTATTTAAGATTATAATTATGGAAAGACATGAAAGATAAAAGGCACCAAATGGCTAAAAATATTTCTATTTTTGACTCTGAATTCAAAGTAAATTAGTTCTTTTCTTTTCTTTTTTAAAATAGGGCTATACATCATTTTGGAATGACTGTATATCATCTGGATTACGTGGCTGTATGTTAATTGAATTAGCGTTAAGAGGAAGGTTGCAACTAGAGGCTTGTGGAATGAGACGTAAAAGTCTATTAACAAGAAAGGTAAGAGGAGTACTAAATAACATATCCCTGCTCAAGAGTTTGTGCTGCCTAAAAATAGTGTTTCTACTAACATCTTTCAGAAATTAAAGAGGAAGTTGATTTTAAAGTTAAGTTTTTATTAAATCATGTTTCTGTGTATTTTTTTCATTCTTGGTTTCCTGGTTCTTTGTGCATAATGAGTAATGTAATTCATTGTTATAATCATTGGCCATTGCATCTCACATATTCAGAAAGACTCCAAACTTCATTTGATGCTTCTTAAAGCTATACTGTATTTTGCCATGTATAATCCACTTCTTTGTATACCATATACCCACAATTTTGGTCCGAACTTTCAGAAAAAAATCTTACATTTTAATTTTTAAATTCAATTATTTATTTATTTATATTTAGAAACAAAACCAATGATCATATTCCAGAGCATTATTTTGCATACGGATTATCGTTACTGCTTTCTAGAGTTACACTTTTAACGCATACGCATAAATAAAAGAATTAAAAACATTTGAATAGGTATGGGATTAGTACTACCCCTGTATAATGCACATCCTTATTTTTCCCTCAAAAAACTTGAGCAAAAGAGAGCGCATTATACACGGCAAAATACGGTAATTTGGAAAGACCTGACATAACTTTCATTGTGTTTCTTGGGGGCATGGTGTTTCAGAACTGTTTTTTCCCTTAATATAGTGTCCTAATGAAATCCAAAACGTTTTAGGTCAGAAGGGAAGTTTTATTATTGGTATGCTATAGAAAGTAATAATCCCATAGGAAAGAAAGCCATAAATGATTCTTTAAAGGTGTATACAAAGTAAACAGTATAGGAGAAAATACTTTTCATGGGATTTTAAAATTAAATCTTGTCTGGGTATTTAAAATAAAGTCAAATGAGCTGACATGAAGTTAGTTTTAAAATTACTGTTTAAGATAACTATATTATAAAGCAGAGTATAATTTCATTTTACTGTGCAACCACAGAATTATGGAGGAAAAGACCTTAAGAATCTGCCATTACAGTTATTGATGAAATATACACATAGGTTGCTAGTAGTTATAGTAGTTGCGAGTAATTTTGCATTAATGTTATGGAGCCCAGACCTGAAGAGAAAATACATCGATACAGGTTCTTTGTGCTGATACGGATACTTTGTGTGGGAACAAGACATGTTTAGTTCTAAGTCCGCCACGTGTTGTCCTTGACCTGGGGGATACAGCGGTGCCTGAGACACATGTCCCCTGCCTGTGTGGGCTTACTGTCCAGTCTCCGTGCTTTTGTGATCTTAAGTAAGTAGGTAGTTGATAGGTCTTTGGAAAAATACTCCAGTGTCATTTAATTTACCCACTTAAACCAGTTTTCTTTGTAGCTGTTCTATTTTCTTACCTGCTCCATCAGAGAAAACTAAGCAGTATTAATTTTCAGATGTTCAGATACATCATATAACTCCATTAATTCTCTTAAAATTCCGCCTTGTGTTCCAGTCTGAGAGAGTTGTGCTTTGGTTCTGTTGGGATTTCCTGTGACATACCTACTGCTCTCAACCCTCTGTTTTCTGGATATAATATTTTCTTCCATTCTTGTGGGAGGAAACTGGATACTTTGAATTCCTGTCGATGCATTTGACTGGCAGTAGAATGTTAGATATAAATTATTTTTCCATAGAATTTTTGAAGGTATTTCCCCATATTCTTCTACTATACAGACAGTTGCCATTAAAGTTTGACTCCCTTCTGATATTCATTGTTTTTATGATACCTGCTTTTTTCTTTCCAGGAGCATTTGGGATCTTCTTTTTATTACTGGTGTTCTGAAATTGTATGATTTGCCTTGATGTGGGTCTTTAACAATTTGTTAATGCATGCTCTCTTTCAATTTGAAAATGTGTCTTTTGGTTTTGGAAAGTTTCCTTACATTTCTTTTATCTTCTGCCCTCCATTTTCTAGGACTTTATCAGTTGAATGTGGACCTCTTGGCTATTTTTTTTCCCCCCTGATTTTTATTTCCCAGTTTTACTGAGATGTAATTCACATTGAGAGGCTCTTTGACCTCTCTTCTCTTTAACCCTCTTGGGTATTTTTTTATTATGGCTTTCATGTTTTTTATTTCCAGGAGCCATTTCTTGTTTTGTTTTATTTTATTTTATTTTATTTTATTGTGGCTTCTCATTCTTGTTTTATGGATGTAGTATCTTTAAAATCTTTGATATTATGGCTCTTCTGAAAATTTCCTTTATCTGTGTTATCTGTGTTTCATCAAAGTTCTTATTTCCTTTCTTTTTTGGTCTCCTTGCTGCTGCTGATGTTCCCTCAAATGTCTTGTCGCCCTTGGTTATCTGTTCAGATTGAAGGAGACTTCCTCCTCCAAAGGGGAAAAAAAACAAAGTAGAAATTACATGTGGTGGGCACAGAATATTTGCCAGCAGGCTTCATGTTACTGACTTTTATTAGGGAGTTTAGAACTTACTCTGAGTCAGAAGAGTTTTAAGCAGAAACAGTGGAATGCATAGTAAGATTTGTCTTTTATAAAGATCAGTGAAGAGAATAGATTGAAAGGGTTATAACTAGTTAGGGAACTCAAATGTATCCACGTGAAAGATAACCAGGTTAGGTAGACAAGAATAATTGCAGAGGTGATGGAGGAACGTGGTCCCTCTAGATAGATTAGAGGACAGAATTTTGTGGGGAAAAAAGATCTACTTGTATCCAGGTTATTGTGATCCTGATGTAAGACCTCTCTCAAAGTGGAGGGTGGGGGCGGTGGGTGGGCCTGAGGTGCGCACTGAGGCTAGATTGCATGGACTTAAGGAGTGAGTGGGAAGGAGGAAGTAGTGTGGTAGGACCCCAGTATATGGACATACAACTTTTTCTCCCTAGGTTCTCCTTTTCTCCTGTTCTCTCTGACCCCCTTTTGAAAGCATGGTTTCCAAGAGCACTGTCCAAAGAGCTTTCTGCGATGATGAGAATGTTCTGCATCTGCACTGTCCAGTATGATAGCCACTAGCCGCATTTGTCTGTGAGCCAGACCCTTGAAATGTGACTAGTGCCAATTGGGACACGCTGTGAATAAAAACACACTGTATTTTGAAGATTTACCATGGAAGAAGAAGGATATAAACTATCTCAATTTAAACATACTTATTGCAGCCCTGGCCAGGGCTCACTTGGCTGGCGTGTCACCCCGTACACCAACAGGGTGTGGGTTTGATCCCTGGTTGGGGTGCGTACGGATGGCAGCCGGTTGATGTTTCTCTTTCGCGTCCATTTTCCCTCCCTCTGTAAAATCAATAAACATATCCTTGGGTGAGGATTAAAAAATAGATTAAAACAATTTATTGCATGTTAATATTTTGGCTATAGTGGGTTAAGTCAAATATATTAAAATAATTAATTCCACCTGTTTTTTTCTTTCTTTAGTATAACTACTAAAATTTTTAAAGATGGATTTGTGGTATGCATTTGTGGTTCTTCAATATATTTCTATAGGGTCACACTGTCTCAAATAGATATTGTATGTATATTGTAACCTTTTAGAAGAAGATTACATTTTTTTGGACAAAAATGTAAAGGCCACATTGTTGAGGACAAATTTAAGAGAGGACTGTTGCATTTAAAAAAATAATGCTCTTAAATTTCATAACATTTTAATAGCTAACATAGAGTAATAGAACAGATTTAAATTTGATATTATACAGTTTAAACTAGAAATTTATTGCTTAGGCAGCAAGAGCATTAACGAAGGCTATAGTGATCTATTACTTAGCTAAAGCAGTGTAGCATTTTTCTGTCTCATCCCCCAACTCTGGAGTTCTCCACTGCTAAGGTGGAGTCTGTATCCCAATATAGTTTAGAAAAAGATTTGTAGCATTTAAAAATTTTATGTAATGAAGCCTATCGGTATTTTCTTTGTCAGAACTTTGAAAAAACCTTTCTCACCCTCAGAATTATATTTCATTATATAAATCTTTATTTTATTGTGGTATAAGCTCTGAGGAGTCATCTTACTTAATTTTTATGGCTAATTTGTTAGTTTTAATAACATTTATTGACAAGTTTATTTTTCTACTGATTAAATGCTACCTTGTATCATATACTGAATTTTAATGTATAATTGAAACTGTTTCTGGAATTAATGAATGTTTAAAAAATGAATTATGGGTAAATTAGCCCAAGGTTGAGTAGTGAAAATAATTATAGTTATTATAAACTCTTCTAGCACTTTGCTTTACTAATTAAGCTTATTTTCATTCATGATTTTAGTTAATCTGCTTGGGTTAAATGTTGGATTTTCTTAATATAGAATTAATTTAAAATCTGAACTTTGATACTGAATGTACACTTGGGGCTTTAGCCACAATGAATTCGTTGCATAATTGTTTAAGTTTTTCATTTAAAGAGATCAAGTGAGAGAGAAGGAATCTGTGGGTCATTTCTTGCTAATGCTTCCCTTTCAGGTGATCTGTAAGTCTGACGCCCCAACAGGGGATGTGCTTCTCGACGAAGCTCTCAAGCACGTTAAGGAGACTCAGCCTCCAGAAACTGTCCAGAACTGGATTGAATTACTTAGTGGTAAGTTGTGTGTAAACTAAAAATTGAATTCTGTTAAAAATTTTTTTTGGTGAAAGTTTAAAATCCTTTTAAAAGGAACTTAGATAAAATAGCCAAGAGCTTGTTTTGTTATTTAGGCAAAGTTGTAAATTATCAGTCACTGAACCGGGAAAGTGGTGGTTTTTAAAATTTCATGCCCATAAGCAAGACTGAGCAGATGCTGAATGAGATGTTAACATTCTTCTCCAGAGCTCTCATCGTTCTTTCTTTATCAGGACTACCTCAAACTCCCTGATTCTGGGTAGGCTAGGTTACTTTGGTAACAAACAGCCCCCAAACCTCCAAGGCTTAAAACGGTAGTTTCTGTCTCACTCATGCAGTCAGCCTGGCGTGCCCCCGCCACTCCGCCTCTGACCGCGGCCCCTCTTCGGGGCCTTCATTTGTTGCTGTTGGGAAAGGAAGATGGCACAGCAGGTCTCCCAGGCTCTTCAGTTGCAGCTCAGAAATGGCGTGTTCCAGGTTTCGTCGGTCAGAGCAAGTCACATGGCCTCTCCTGATTTTAAGGAGATGGGAAAGCGAGACTCTAGCGGAGAACCTGCAATACTCGGTGGACAGCAAGCACTACTGACTACTGCATATATATTATTTGTGTATTTGTATAATCTTCTAGATAGAGAGCTGCTTCAGGAGAACAAGACCTAATTTATCCTGTTCTTTCTCTCTTCTGTTAACATAAAACATACCTCTGCATACAGTTGACCGTTGAACAGCTTGAACTCCATGGGTCCACTTACATATGATATTTTTCAATGAATACTATAATTGTATTTTTTTCCCCTTAGGACTTTCTTAATAATATTTTCTTCTGGCTTACTTTATTGTAAGACTACAGTATATAATACATATAACAAAATAAAATATGTTAATCAACTTTATGTTACTGGTAAGGCTTCTGGTCACCAGGAGGCTATTAGTAGTTAAGTTTTTGGGGAGTCAAAAGTTACACATGGATTTTTGACTGTTCAAGGGCCAGCAACCCTACCACATGTGTTGTTTAAGGCCCAGCTGTACATGTACTGTTATTTTCATTTTATGTGCAGACCTATTGTTGCTTAGCATAACTGTTTTAAACACATGTGGACTTTGTCAGAGATTGGTAATGAACGAGGTCATTTTTTTACTTACAGAGTTTCTAAAATAACAATCCCTATTATGAAGATGTTCTTTTAGTAATAAAACTTTGAGTTTTGCATGTTGGATTATTTAAAAATTGAAGACACATACTACATTCTTTGCTAATAGGGCAATAATGGATACTTTACACCTAGGGCAGGTTTATTCTTCTTTTTGATAGGAAACACTTTGATAGAGAACAGGTTATCTTGATAATTTTGAAATTTTGTTTTTTTGACCAGCTTCTTGTAGATCTTGTAAAGTTTTTTACCTCATTGAGTGAGAGAAACTTTATTCTTTCCCTTCTTTCTTTTTTGTTAAATATTTATTTATTTTTAGAGGGAGGGGAAGGGAAGGAGAAAGTAAGGGAGAACATTGATTTGTTGCCTCTCCCATGCCCCCAACTGAGGACCTGCCCCACAACCCAGGTATGTGCCCTGACCTGGAATTGAACTGGTGGACCTTTAGTTCTCAGGGTGATGCTCAGTTCACTGAATCACACTTGCCAGGGCTACTCTTTCCTTTCTTTGTGCTTATGAGATTACTGATGTCTTAACTGATCATTTCTTCTGCAGGAATCTTTTAAAATTACTTTGCCCATTGGATGAGGATTTGTTTGGTTAAAACTAGATAATACAGTCCACAATTCCGCTTACTCAACACATACCAATAGAGCATGTCACTGTGCCCAGCACATTGTCATCCCTCTCTCATTAGCCGTCTTCCACTTATGCCTGTTGGTGACATACTGCCATCTGACAGACTCAGAGATTAACATCAGCTCTATATATTAAGTATTAACAAATAGAGTTATTTTAGAAAAGAATGGAAGTTCTACTAACTTATAACTGTATCCTAATGGATCATTTTGTACATTCTTTGAAGATCATTGACCTAAGCAGTCTTTGGGTAGAGCTCATTTTGTGCTGCCATTGTTGACCACCTCTGATATTGCAAATTACCATTTGCAGTTAGGTTCTCAGCTGACCAGAAGGAGGATTTCTCAAAGTCTCCCTGGGGTGGAGAGATACCCAGGGGTTAATTTTATTATTACTTATACTGTGCATCATGCATGCTAAACCTACTGCTATATTGTGAATATTACTTATATATGTGTACATCTCATTAATTTAAAAATTAATATACATATATTTGAGGCAAAGACTTAAAAATGTTTAACAACTTTTTAAGAATAAAGAGTTTCTGGCTTTCTGAAATCTTAAGGCATGTAGTTGATCAACTTGGTCACAAGGTGTCACTAGACTGCCAAATTTATGAACAGCTGCTTTTAGTTTTGTAATTTAATGTCAAGGGAGACAGGTGTTTTGTAGTAAAATTATGTAGGTAGATGTTCTACTGAAGTAATTGCTGGGCAGAGGACATAGCCTTTGAGGAACTTTTCGTCTCTGTATATACCATATTTTGCTGTGCAAAATGCGCTCCTGTGTATACTGTGCATCCACGTTTTTGGTCCAAATTTCCAGGAAAAAGAATTTTTTTTTTTTATGGTATATAGATATGGGATTAGTACTACCCACATATAATGTGCCTCCTTATTTTTCCCTTAAAAAATTTGGGCAAAAAGGGCGTATTATACATGGCGAAATATGGTACTTCTCTCAGTTTCCGTTACAGAAAAGTGAATAAGTAAATTCTATATGTTTTAAATTTGCTTTTTAACTTAATAAAGTCTCTTCATATAAACAGTGAATAGAGACTGATGAATAATAATATGTAATGTAATACAATCAGTAATATCTTTAATCTAGAATTTTTAGTGCTTTTTTTTCAGGCATTTATTACAAGTATTTAAAAGGTTTTTAATATTCAGCTTAAATTGAAGCAGCTAAATTTTTAGTAGCTAGTATAGGTTAAACCTTTATTGTGTCTTCTCTTTACTCATCCAACTACCTTTCTCCCATCCCAGTTTATACTGGTTTCTTAAAGTATGCTAATCTCAGGGGTGAATTTTTTCTTTGGATTTTGCTTAATTTGGTTCTTTTAAAATAAAAAGCAGATCAGGATACCAAGACACTTGGACCTCTCAGTTATTTTACTGGGGTGCCCAAAATAGTATTAAACAGCATCTGCATGTTACACTGGTTTAGTCTTCTGCTTATGAGGTTTCTTCATTCTTTCAAATACCTGAGGAGATCTTAACGTGTTTGTTGAAGGGAGCACAAAAAGTTTGTCCTTTTCCAGGATATTGCTACAGAAGAAGATGATGTTTAAACCCTTTTTATTACTTCCCCTGAGGCAGAAAAGATTGCCCATAAGAAGGTGTAGCCTTAAGTGAAACACCTTATTTGAAGGTGGGTCTGTATTAAGGCTCTTTTCATTTTTAGTAGCAATACTAAACTGTAAGTTATCATATATTGGAATTGAGGAATTTCTTACAGTTATGTTGTAAGCATCACTTGTTCCATTGGTTACAATATACATGATTTAATTGTGAATAAGTTGTAGATGAACCTTGGTATGATGTCAGTACAATAGTCGGTAAGTCATAAACTGCTGATCGCATTTATTTCCTGTGAAAAAGAAAAAAATTATTGTATAGCAGCATGAGGGGGGGGTTGTTTTTGTTTTTTAGGTCTGCAAAGAGAAATTTAACTATGGGTTTCTCAATAATCTTAATTACCTCTCATTCCCCACCTTTGCCTCTCTCTCCTACCTGCCCTGCTGCCCAATTGTTTGGAAATACATGGCCAAGATATTCTCTGAGGCATAGAATATATTCCTATTTGACTAGTGAATTGCTAGGGAATGCTACTTCTTTGATAATTGACAAATTATTATAAGCATAATTGATTAATCCTAGAATTGAACTATAGTTTTTTTATAGGCTTTTATGTAAATTTGGCTATTGAGTAATTTGTTAAAAAAATTTTTTTTGATTGTATTTCTTTCCATTACCTTTTAGTCCCCTTAAACCCCTCTCCCCTGGGCAGTCATCACCCTGTTACCCATGTCCATGAGTCCTCCTTCCTTCGTGCTCAGTCCCTCTACCCCCCACTCGCCCCACCTCTTAGCTGTCATTCTGCTCTCAATCCATGAGTTTCCCTCTATTTTCCTTGTTAGTTCAGTTTGTTCATTAGATTCCACATACGAGTGAAATCATACGGTATTTATCTTTCTCTGACTGACTTATTTCACTTAGCATAATGTTCTCCAGGTCCATCTGTGCTGTTACAAAGCGTAAAAGTTCCTTTTTTGTGGCTGAGTAGTATTCCATTGTGTAAATGCCCCCCAGTTGTTTTATCCACTCATCTACTGATGGACACTTGGGAGTAATTTCTGTTTACAAGTTTAAATTTCCAAAAGTTAATTGAGAATGTTAGAAAACACAACCTTGTCAATTCCAGCCTAATGACTTAGGCTGCCTACCACTTGCCAATGGCATAAGGAAGCCAATACAGAACCCAGTCTGTGTGGTGAACGGTGCACCAGGCAGGCATTTCCTGGGGAGACAGCGGGGGTGGTACAACAATGAAAATTCTCCATGTGACCATCCCGTCCACTTTATTTCTTCTGCCTCGAGTGCCGGCTCCTCTCCCTTTTGTAGGAAGTCGAATCCTGCTGGATTTCAAAATTTAGCTTGGAAGTTCTTTGTCCTGGAACTTTCGTAGATATACCCCTTAACCTCAAGCCTGAGAAATTTCTTATTTCTCTGGGCACGTTGTTCATACTGTTTTAATGGCCCTATTTGCATCTAATTCTAGCCTGCATAGTTAGTTTTATTATGACTCTTTTTTTCTTCTCTTGATTTTAAATTTCTACAGTTAGAAATATGTCTTACTTACATTTGTATTTTCAGTACTCAACATGATTTTTTTTAATGCCATTAT